GGGAGGGCAGGGGAGGGCATGGGGGAGGGGAGGGCATGGGGGAGGGCAGGGAGGGTAGGGCAGGGGAGGGGAGGCAGAAGGCGGCCTGCTGCCTGGCAGCGAGCAACACAGCCATCCGCAGCCTCAAAACCCGTTCAAATCAATCCACGGTGCACTCAGTTTGCATCTCCCCCTCGTCGCCTCGACCCACCCTCCCTCTCCGCTCGTCGCGGTTCCCTCCTCGACCTGACTTCCCGCCGACACCACCTCCGTGGCGGCTTATCCGTACAACCAACACAACCTTGTTGACACCTCACCTCGCCTCACCTCGCCTCCGCTTCAAATTCCCTTCCTTGGTCTTCTCGGTCCGTCTGCCCGCCCGCCCGGCCGTCTGTGTTCCTGACAGCGCGGTGATCCTGACGGCGACGGCGGCCGCGAAATGGACATCCCGGCGGTATCGCTGGCTGTCCCTGTGGCCTCGGCGCTGGTGGTGCTGGTGGCGTCCACACTGTACGAGTTCAAGAAGCACCGCCAGCACCGCAGTCTGTTTGGCAAGGTGGGTGCAGATGGCCACAGACGCAGCTGTGCCCTGTCCTGGCAGGGTGGGTGGGTGCTGCTAGGTGCTGCGTGGTTGCTTGGCTTGGGGCTTCTGGGTGTTGGTCGTCCTGTCCCCACCCGGCCCGGAACCGCTCACGACTGTGTGTTTCGGAGCACCCCGCCATGTTGCCCGTAAGCGTCCTCTTGAGCACCTTCCGCCTGCTTACCTGTATGTATTTTTGAAGGGGGACTTTGTGTTTGTGTACGTATGTACGTATGTCCGTGTCCTTCCTGGCGCGCACGCAGGTGGTCGCACCTGGCCCCTTCGAGGACACCACCCTGCTGGTGGGCGGGGAGGGGGAGGGTGCTGGAGTGGGGTGTAGTGGGTGCGCGGCGAGGGAGGGTGAGGGAGGGATGTACGGACCTCTAGGGCTTCGAACCATGGAGAGCGCGGTAAGGGGTTGGCTGGGTTGGGGCCATACACGGGCAGCTCGCCGGCCATTCTTCCAGGCTCTCGTTTTTCACCACCACCATCATCACCATCATAACCTCCTGTGCAGCTCCCGCCGCAGGTTACCCCGCATTCCCGCCTCCGCTCTCCCAGCACGCGCACACACATACACACACCTTCTTGCTGTTCTTGCCTAGACAGTTCGCCTCCCCCCCACCTGTGCCACCCTATGCTCCCTTTCCCCCGGGGGACGCTGTGTCTCCTCCAGGTTACTGACATCCAGGATAGCACGGCCCTGTGGGAGATGCTGCCGTCCAATGTGATGGACCGGGCGATAAAAGAACATCACACGGTGAGGAGCGCGGGGGGTGGGGTGGGGTGGGGTGGGGTGGGGTGGGGGGCGCTGGTGAGGGCGACAGGGAGGGGGGAGGAGAGCTAGGGGCCGGTAGGGATTGGTCCAGGGATTGGTCCGGGGAAGTCTTGAACAGCTCCTTCACGCAGCCCCATGACCAGTTTTTGGAGGTTCGTGTGTCTACGTGTGTGTATGTGTGGCGGCGGGGTGGATGGCGGGGTGGAGGTATCGAGGGGGGCTGATCTCGTGACTGCCGTACTGTACGGGACTTGGTCATTGATCGTTGTGGTCGTTTCATTAGCTGCCAGCACCCGCTGCTCGCCCGCTCTCCGTATTCACCCCCGCGGGGGGCCGGCCGCCATGACCCCAAGTGCACCACCCTGCACTTGAGGTTCTGTGGAGGACTTGAGGTTGAGCGCGGTGCTGTCCTGTGCTGCTCTTTCCTTGGTAGCAGCAAGCCAAGTCATCACTACGATGACCTGAACAAATGGAGGGCCCAACGCCCCAACTGAAAATACCGTGTTTCCATTACCGCACCCCCTCAGTGACCGTCTGGTGGGCTGTTGTTTGTGTTGATGTCGTTGTAGTAGTAGTAGTGGAGGTGGTGGCGGTGGTGGTGCTAGTGGTGGTGCTAGTGGTGGTGCTAGTGGTGGGCACCCTTCACCTCAGTCACGGTCATCCTGCAGCCAACCCGCACTCCCTCGTCACTCCCTCGTCCCTTCCCGTTCAGTGTCTACGGAAGCTGCTTCTGAAGCACAGCGGGTATGAGAGCGCCACAGGTATGTGCGCAGGACACACGTGCTTGTACAGTACACGGGTTCGGAGCGAAGTGATGTGACGTGTCCCGGCAGGGGGACGGTGAGGCGCGTGCGTTTGTGCGTATGTGTGCGTGTTGATATGACTGAGCCGTGGGAAGTACAGGAGGTGTATTTGTGTGCGTGTGTGTGTGTATGTAAACCCAAGAAACAGCTTCTTCTATGTTCCTTTCTCAGGTCCCACGGGTCTCATCGCTCTGTATGTGTATTGCGGGGCTTGCTGTGCGCACACCTGGCCATATGGACCGAAACGTGGCTCTACGCTGCGAGAAGCGACGTTTTGGACTTCATTTACCTGTGAAAACTGTAGTGCAGCTTTGCGTTACCTGATTATATATATGCCTGTGTATATGTCTGTGTGTGTGCGCGTTTGTGTCCCCTCCATTCCTATCTCCCCCCTCCGCGCTTACTCGTCCGCCCGCTTCT